CCCTTCAAAACCAACCAAACAGGTACTTCAATAGCAGGTGATTCAGTAAGTCTGCTGTTTGCAGCCGGAGCAGAAGTCGCGTTCAGTATTGACCACATCGAGGGAGCGTTTTCTTCTGCAGAGTTAAAGAAGAAAAATAAAACCCGTGCAGTTCCTTCGCGCTCTTTGTGCAGGGGTTTGGTGTCATGTTTGTGGGGCGAAACGTGTCCACGCAGCAGTCCCAGGATCCCGCCCAGGCAACCCAGCCTGTGTTACCAGAGCCGAGAGGGCAGCCCGGGGGGGCGGACGCTGCAACTTCTGCCTCAGTTACCGATTTGACAGGGATTTCTACCCAAAAAACAGAAACTGCGAAGCTGCACTCTCAGATCAGAGGGGCATTGCAGTGAAACCTCTGGGAAGCAAAACTGAGTCAGATCACAGCAAACTGTTCTCTGTACATCACAGCCCCACGTGCCACAGCCAGGGGGCTGAGTGCTGTTCTTACCCTTCCAGTTAAAACGGTTCATAGGGCAGTAGCTTTTTTATGCAGCCAGAAGAGAAGGACGGGCTTTCCCTTTTGGGGTGAACTGGAGAATGGGAAGAAATTTCACAGCTTTTCACAGCAAAGACTTTGTCCTGCTGCCAGAGCAGGGTCACCTAGAGTACATCACACAGGAACTCATCCAGGTGGGTTTTGAATGTCTCCAGTGAGGGAGACTCCACAACCTCCCTGGGCAGTCTGTTCCAGTGCTCTGTCACTCTTACAGTAAAAAAATTTTTTCGGATATTCACCTTGAACCTCCTATGCTCCAATTTACACCCATTACCCCTTGTCCTATCACTGGTCATTACTGAGAAAAGCCTAACTCCATCTCCCTGACACTCACCCCTTACATATTTGTAAACATTGATGAGGTCACCCCTCAGTCTCCTTTTCTCCAAGCTAAAGAGACCCAGCTCCCTCAGCCTTTCCTCATAAGGGAGATGTTCCACTCCCCTAATCATCTTCGTAGCTCTGCGCTGGACTCTTTCGAGCAGTTCCCTGTCCTTTTTGAACTGAGGGGCCCAGAACTGGACACAATATTCCAGATGTGGCCTCACCAATGCAGAATAGAGGGGGAGGAGAACCTCTCTTGACCTACTAACCACACCCTTTCTAATGCACCCCAGGATGCCATTGGCCTTCTTGGCCACAAGGGCACATTGCTGGCTCATGGTCATCCTCCTGTCTACCAGGACCCCCAGGTCTCTTTCACCTACACTACTCTCCAGCAGTTCAGCCCCCAACCTGTACTGGGACATGGTGTTGTTCTTCCCCAAATGTAAAACTCTGCACTTCCCCTTGTTGAATTTCATCATGTTTCTCCCCGCCCAACTCTCCAGCCTATCTAAGTCTCTCTGAATGGCAGCACAGCCATTGGATGGATGTCCATGGATGCAGTGAATTTGATTCCATAGAGGATTTTTAGCAGAACCAATAGACTCTCAGAACTTGGGTTCCTAATTGCTTTTGAAAATCCCTCTGGGACCTTGATTATATCTTGGCATTTAAATACCTCAAAAAAAAAACAAATAATCTGTTTTTTGGTCCTTAGCCAAACTCTTCATCTGCTTGTCCTGGCCTTGATCTAAGTGTCAAGCCAGTGCAATGGGTAAGGGCATGTTTGTGTTCACGTTTGTCTCTGCTGCTTCCAAAGGGGGAGGTGGTGTAAGGATGGATGCAGCTTTGCATTTTGTTCTTTTTTTTTTCCTCACACGGTATCTTTTTCTCACTGGTTACCAGCTGAAGCTGCACGTGGTCTCACAAATGAGGTGTTTCTCTGTGCAAACATTCAGAAGATGCTAACACTTCGGACTGGGTTTCCATGCTATGTTACTAGCTCAAAGAAAACTACCAGAAGTGGAGGGGAAACTGTGTGCGTGTCCTGACTTTCCCATCTCAAACAGGCACTGGGAAATTCAATCTTGTAAGTTTTGCTTGTGATTTCTTGACAGTTCCTTCCACAAACCTTTATAAACAGAGATTCGGAAGTCCTAATGGCAAATACAGTATTTGTATGTAATAAAGAGATGGTCTCTATCAAAAAGATTTTATAGCCTGAATATAAGGTGAAAATTTGTTTTGTTGTTTATGTAATGCTAGATTAATTTCATGTGACTCTCAAAATTATTAATGGGATTATATCCATTTCCTACTATCAAAATAATTGCTACATCAGCAATAAGTAATTCCCTGCAAATGAAGGACACCTTGGAGTATAAATTAGGAATTTGGATAAAATGGAAATGTTTTACGTGTCATTTTACACTGTATCTAAATTACACTTTATCTACATTTTAACTAAATAACAGAAATATTTTATTGTTTAATCTAAGTTAGGGTCATCTCAGAGTATAAATTAGGAATTTGAATAAAGCAGAAATATTTTACATTTTATCTAAATGCAAGCTCTGATAGAGCAGGTCCTGGCAGAAATCCAGTCCCACTGTAGAAACACCAAGCAACAGATGAAGCAACCAAAGAGAGCACAGGATCAATGTTTTTGTAACACAGTCAAATTTGTCTTGTTCTGTCCATGCCATCCATTTGGTGTTGTGGTATTTTTTCTGTTAGTGGTGCTGCAGTCTGCTGTCCTGACTAGTGCAGGCAAGAGAGATCTCATGTGGCTCATCACAATGTTTCATTCTATTCCAACTCCAAAAAAAACCAACAGAAAACTGTTGTAATTTGGCACGTGTGTGGTATTTTTACCTTGCTATCAGTAGGCAAACAGAGAGCAATAATTACATGAGCATAAATTTATGGGGGTTGGGTATAGCAAAGCAGAGTATTAAGTACTTCTGTGGATGCTTATGCTTGAAAATGCTTCTGCTGGGCTGTTTTTGGGGGGTGTGTGGGAGCAAAAAGAAAGCAAGAGAATACCCATCTTCAGCAAGGCTGCTACCCAGCCAGCTTTTTTCTGAAGGATCCCTTGTTGTTCGATGAACCACACATAGTCCCGTGGCTCTGTGTGTGCAGTGGCTCCATGGCTCACATGGGCATATTATTTCCTTTTAAAATTGACCACCATAAATTTCAATATCTTGACTCTTTTTCTTCCCCTCTTTATTTTTTTCCACTCTTTTACTCTGTTGGAGAAATGTCAGTCCTTGGACTCCACCAGTTCGCCTTGCTGGGTCTGCACCTCTGTCCTGAAGCCTAGTGCATCAGGAAGACTCAGAACTCTATGTTGTTAAATGCTGTTCAAATAAGTCCATGAAAGAGAGACTCTTCCAAAAAGTGCCAGGGGTTAGTGCATATTTACATGAAATAGGTGTTTATAGGAATATGTAGGGACAACCAGAAGACTCTATATTTTCTAGCTGTTTAGTGTTCAAGGAGGTTGTCCTTTCTCCAGCAATGAGTGGAAGAGCATCGAGCCATTTGTCATGTCCAGGTGCCTCTGGGACAAGGAGAAAGGTCCATCTCTGCTGCAACAGGCTCTGCCAGTGGGCTATGGATGCAAATACTTTGGTTTGCACTTTCAGATTTAGTATTAAGACAAAAGTGCCTGGGAACTAAACTACTGAGGAACAAGTGCTGGAAAAGCTTTGTTTGACTCATTTGTGTGAGGTGCTCCTAAGCTGTCTCTTTGTTGGCTGCTCTAAGCACAGTTCACTCAGATCCCAGGACAGCAGTCTTCATGTCAGCCCCTGTGGGATACATCCAGTGTGGCTTCCTATTTTGTCATATCCATCTCTCTTTAGGCCCATTTGTGGTTTGCATACTGGTCATTGCACTAGTTCCTGATGCTTTTCACATCAACTAATCTGGTTAATGTGAACAGGAGGACATGCTGGGCTGTTTCCTATCTATACAGATTTATTTCTAAATGCCTAAAGAACTTCATAAAGTGCCTTTGCTTCCCTCATGATGGCAGTTCCCATAACGATAATAAACATAAAGTATTAAATTGCAACAGCAGAATTAATGTCTCAGTGAAGGAAAGGGGGGACACTACAAATTCACACCTCCTGAGAGCAGTTTTCCAGGCTATTTACTGAGGCAGAAAGACAACACTTCATCTATTTATAGCCTTTGTATTTGGAAGTTTTCTTCCCAGGCATAAAATCAATTTGCTGTTTGGACTTAATAAATGTTCTGTGCGTGTTTGTGAACATGTATATGTAAAAGTTAGTATTTCTAGAGATGAGCATGTATATAACTAAGCAGGATCCAGACTGCAGGTCCATTATGAGACTTTGCTTGTTTGTAATTGGTTTAAGTCCCAACAGCCATCAAAACAAGCACATTAAAATCTTACCAAAAAAGTTCAGTAGGCAAGAAAAAATATTCTCAGTTTTAAAAAATTCTCTATTCTCCAGTGTGGAAATAAATCATAAAATCTAGAATGTTTACAGTTTATAAAAGGACAGAAGAATAGTTTGGGTTGGAGCAGACCTTTAAAGATCATTTAGTCCAAACCCCCTGCCATGGGACACCTTCCACTAGACCAGATTGCTCAAAGCCCCATCCGTCCAGACTTTGAAAACTTCAACCATGAGACATCCACAACTTCTCTGGACAACCTGTTTGTAACACCCCTCATTGTTAAAAAAAATTCTTCAGTAAAACCAATCTAAGTCTACTCTCAGTTTTAAACAATTGCTCCTTGGTCTATCACTGCAGACCTAGGTTAAAAGTCTCTCCATCTTTTTATATACAAAAGAGCAGCAATAAGGTCTCCCCAGAGCCTTCTCATCTCCAGGCTGAACAATCCCAACTCTCTCAGCCTGCCTTCATAGGAGAGGTGCTCCAGCCCTTGGATCATCTCTGTGGCCCTTCTCTGGACCCACTCTAATAGGTTCATGCTCTTCTTATGTTGGGGGCTGCAGAACTGGACACAGCACTCCTGGTGGTGTCTCAGCAGAGCAGAGCAGAAGGGAAGAATCACCTCCTTTGATCTGCTGATCACACTCATTTTGGTGCAGCCCAAGATACACTTGGCCCTCTGGGCTGCAAGCACACATTGCTGGCTCACCTTCAGTTTTTCATCCACCAGTGCCTGCAAGTCCTTCTCCTGAGGACAGCTTTCAATCCACTCATTGCCCAGTTTGTATCTATGTTTGAGGTTGCCCCAACCCCAGTGCAGGACCTCGCGCTTGGCTTTGATGAACTTCATGAGATTTGCACTCGAGCTTGTCCAGCTCCCTCTGAATGGCAACTGGTCCCTCAGGTGTGTCAACTGCATGACACAGCTTGGAGTCATATGCATGTTTACTGAGGGTGCACTTGACCCCACTGTCTATATCACTGATAAAGATATTAAAGAGTACTGGTCCTAACACAGACCCCTGAGGGACACAACTCATCACTGACCTCCATCTGGACACTGAACCATTGACCACTACCCTCTGGAAGCGACCTCACCATGCAGCCAATTCCTTATCAACTGAATCCATAAAATCCATATCTCGCCAATATAGAGAGTGCTGTTGTGGGGGACCATGTAAAAGACCTTACAGAAGTCCAGATAGATGACATCCATAGCTTTTCCCTTGTCCACAGGTTCAGTCATTGTACCACAGAAGGCCACTAGATTAGTCAGGCAAGACTCTGCTCTTCATTTGGTCCATAACCCTCAAGACTGTGAATTCCACCAGTGCGTGATCACTGCCCCCAACCTTGTCATCTCTCATGACTTCACCCATATTGGTAAGCAACAGATCTAACACCACTTCTCCTCTGGTCAGGCTGTCTATAGCCTGCATCATGGTCTTTCCCAACGAATCATCTGATGATGTTTCCCAGGACGAGCCTTCACCTCTTTTCATGCATGTTCAAACACTCCAGCTATTACCACCTCCTGGTTGACTCTAAAATCAGTCTGAGTCACTAACAAGTTCAGATAAAGTTCTTTACCACTATGTTTATTTAAATCCAATTGCTCTTACATTTCCCAGAGGAAAACACTACCAGCACCATCAGCAAGCAATACATTGATTTTAAATCAGCAAGACAGCCATTGATCTTAGCAGCTATTTATGCACATGTTCCCAGTAGCCACTTCCTAATGGAATTTTAACAATTCAGTAGGGTCACTTGAAGGTCTCAAGGAAGCAAGAGAAAAGTTCATCTCTTGCAGGAAATACCTCCCTAGGACAGTGCCTTCACTCACAATTTTAAGACAGAGTGGTGGACTTCTTGAGTTTTGGTGGATAGTGACAACTAATTTTCAAGATACACGTAGTTCTTGTTTTATTCAGCTTGTTCTGGAAATGGACACACGGAATCACAGAATGTTGGGGATTGGAAGGCACCTCCAAAGATCATCAAGTCCAACCCCCCTGCCAGAGCAGAGCCAAAAACTAGAGCAGATCACTCAGAAAGAGAGGTCTTGAAAAACTCCAGAGAAGAAGACTCCACAACCTCTCTGGGGAGTCTGTTCCAGTGCTCTGTCTTGTTACATCTGTGAGCTGCTGGTTCCTTGAGGCTGGGAGTATCTAAAGCAAATATATCTAGCCTCTGGGCCTCTGCTGGGGCCCTGCAGCAGTTAGCTGGCCTTAGCACAGACTAACCCTTAGCCTGGTGCAGTACATCTACCCTTATATTAGACATACTGCTATAAGAACTGATCTAAAGGTGGCTCTGCTTTCTGCTTACCTTCCTATACAACATGGCCTTTTTCATTTGAGTTAACATCTTGCACCAGAAGGACAATTACATTTTTTTTAGTATACCATTTCCAATGGTTTAACAGGAAACAATATGCAAAACATTCTTCTCTGACGAAAAGTGTGTTACCACCCTCACTGTTTTCTTGCGTGAGAACTCATCTCCCAAAGTGTTGCACAGATACATGGGCAAAACTAGGAAGAGCAGGAAGGGAATGGAGGTGGCCAGTGTAGAATTTGAGTGGGGCTGGTGCCCTGCCTTAGGTGCCAGCAGAGCCTTAGCCAGCTCCATGCTGTGGCTCCTGTCTGGTTTAAAATTGCTGCGTGCACAGAGGTACCTGTTGGGGCCATTACATCCCTGTGCCCCCTGTGCAGGTGTCCTTGTCCCCATCTGGTTGGCTGTGTCTGCTGGAAAGCAGTACACTCACCGAATGGCACCACAGGCCGCAGAGACGCTCACTGATGTCCATGGCCTTGGGTATTCCTGAGGAAAGACATAAGTGCCTACTGAAAGGGTTCCTGAGGGATCACAGAATCATAGAATCATAGAATAGTTAAGGTTGGAAGGGACCTTAGAGATCATCAGGTTCCAACCCCCCTGCTTTGAGCAGAGACACCTCACACTAGACCAGGCTGCACAAGCCTCATCAACCCTGGCCTTGAACATCTCCAGGGAGGGGGCTTCCACAACCTCCTTGGGCAGCCTATTCCAGCACCTTACTACCCTCATGGTGAAGAATTTCTTCCTGATGTCTAATCTAAATCTCCCCTCTTTCAGTTTAGAACTGTTACCCCTTGTCCTATCACTGCCTTCTCTGGTGAAAAGCCCATCCCCAGCTTTCCTGTAGCCCCTTCAGGTACTGGAAGGTGCTATAATATCTCCCTGGAACCTTCTCTTCTCTAGGCTGAACAGCCCCAACTCTCTCAGCAGAGGTGCTCCAAGCCTTTGGTCATCTTGGTGGCCCTTCTCTGGACCACAGCACAAACACACCTTGCTCTACCTCTTGCACATGCATAATGCACATTAGCTAAAAGGTACAAGTAACATAAGCAGTTGACAGTTACCTGTAATTTTAGCCAAGACTTGACTTGTAAGAGTGTGCTGTGGTTGTATTTCTTTCCATACTACGGGATGCAATGTAATCCAGCAGATAACAAAGGACGGGGGCAACTCTTTGAATAAGTGGTGGTGTCTGACACTTGCAAACCTCCACCACCTGGCACTGAGCCGAACCTGGCAGATGTTCTGAGCCATTCTGGCACACTTCTTCTGTGTTACAGCAAGGAGCAGGAGAATAAAAGGATTGTCTGAGATACCCTAGATCCTTGTGGGACGTCTGGATTATATGCATGGGCAGAAATACCCCACGTGTCAGACAGCGAGAGAGAAGGTGGGAGGAAGTGTGTTCTCTTAAATAGTAATTAAATTGGACCTGGGCTTTCAGCTGGGTTCCTCTGTTGACTCACTGGGTGATCATGAGCACATTTCATATTTTTCACACCAGTCTGCATCACGAAACAATGGTTGAAAGCTGGCTTCAAATCTGGCTTTTTCCTGTATAGCAAGGTGAGTTTGAATACAGCTAAACCCAAACAAAGCAGATTCCTTTTCTGGAAGTCCATCTTTTACCTGCAATTAAGCAAAGCTGTAGTGTTCAGGGGTAGAACAGCTCACAGGGAGCTAAAAGAGTGGCTGGTGGGCAGGGAAGGCATCTGAAACAGAGCCCTGCTGTGAAGGGCTGCTCTGGAGCTGGACATGCTGCTGAATTTCTGGCTATTACCCAACGGGGGCTTTTTGGACCTTCACAATGGTGCCACAGTTCTCTCTCACTATGGAAACTGGTTTTTGAAAAGGCACTGGTTTTAAAAAGTGAGTTGAAACAAAAACTTGTGCTTTGTCTTCCATCCTGGCTCTGGGGTTCCCCTGGGAACAGGGGAAGGCTCCTGGAGGCTGTCCTGCCTCCTCAGAACCCAAACTCAGGTTCCCCTTCGTAAGCAAGCTGCATCAGCAGCTGATTTTTCCACAGATATGGACAGAAA